ATGAGCATCACGGGAAGTCACAAACCAGGCGTATCAGATACACCTGGTTTATGTATGTTTGTTTGAGTCGAGTGAAGTGTCAGCCATATGCACTGAGATGCCGAAGGAAGCTCAAGGCACGTGTATCTGATACGCCTGGTTTCTGACTTCCCGTGATGCTCATCATTGAAGCCTTGAACCCTCGCGTAAATTTCATGTTTCATGCCCCCCCTTCCAAACTCAAACAGTGGCCTACTTCACCTGCCACCTAAACATAGCACTATAGCACGTACCGGAAGCGTCCCAGGGGGGAGTTGAACCCGCGGGGGGGGGGGGGCCCCCCCTACACGTGAAGTTTTCACGTGATTCATGATTCTCGAAGCTGCGAGCCCTTGACTTGCTAAAGCAAGAGCAACTCCAGCTAGCTGATGCTAGCTTTCGTGATCAAAAGATATCAAGAGCATATAATACGCCGACCCCGGTCTAGGAAGATGTGAGCGGACCAGGGCGGGCGTGTTCCTGAGAGGGGCTCCGGTAACTGCTGTGGTGATGTCAGACTGCCAAAAACCTGCAATAAATTGACACAATGTGTAATTCGCTTGCTCTGTGTTGAGATTGTATCCTTGGAAAAGCGTTGCCTTGGGGACACGCGCGCCGCGCGCGCGGGACCTAGGCATATGAGACCAGGCCACCCTAAAGAAACATTTTGAGTCACTGAAAAAAGCGTCTTTCATCCTCTGCAAGACCAAACACTTGCATTTATATACGGGGATTTTTGCCTTAGGAGCCCAACAACAATGTACTGTAAACACGCATGTTTTTGAACCTGGGCAAGCGAACGCCACGGTATTTATATACAAGATGTTTCGCATTAGGAGCCTAAAAGCAATGTAATTTACTGTAAATACACCAATGTTTCTGAAAGGCAAGCCGAAGGTGTTTTTAATGCTTTTTTGGGAGGCCAACAATCAAACATTTGCGAGGTCTTTTGCTTTGCGAGCAAGAACCAATGATCTTCATAGTGTGTCTGACTCTTCTGATTCTGGTGCCCAAAGCACTGGATCGACGCCGTTTTCGGCATGTTCCTGATTTTCTGGGGTTGGAGGCCGCACTGGCCCCTACTGTAATATCAAAAACAACTGATTTTTCAAACGCTCCACTCGGAGAAATTCACTTTGATCAAGCTCATCAAACAAAACATGACCATACATGACTTCCCAGAAGAAACTCTTATTTATAATTCCCGTGTAATTAGGCAGCCTCCACCTTCTTTTGACCAATCTTCAATTTGCCAGTGTAGCACAAGATAGCACAAGTGCAGCGCCATTCTAAAATGTGCTTTTATCTCTGCAAGGCTCCGGCCCGCACAATGCGACAAACCGCGGCATTCTCCTCAATGACTTCGCGCCTATGAGCTCTGTGATCAGTTTGCGATCCCAAGGAGTTGTCCAAAAAGTTCCACGAAATTCCGGTGGTTGACCAAAGGCTTCTGCTTCAGTTCATGGGAGTGTGTATTCCCCTCTGTTCTCACCAGGTTAGCGCAAAACCAGGTGAAAAAACGCAGCAGAAAAGAATCAAAGCACACTTTGTAACACATGTAAGCTGCTCCATGCTGTAATTGAGCAAAGCGCTCGCAAAGGTTGGGGTCCAATGCGCTGGCCGAGAGTCGCACAGAACAAACCACACCTATACTATCCTATACTCCTCGCGACTTCGAACTGCTAGTTGTTGATAGTTTCTGCAGGTCATGTCGGAAATCTTTGCCAATTTGATTCTGATCTTATTACTGTTCATACTCCCCCGCAAGAACGCTACTAGGGGCTCCTGGCCGTACTACTAGGAGCAAGGACGCTACTAATTAGGGGCTCCTGGCCGTACTAAGACTAGGAGCAAGAACGCTACTAGGGGCTCCTGGCCGTACTACTAGGAGCGAGGACGCTACTAGGGGCTCCTGGCCGTACTACTAGGAGCAAGGTACGGTGTACATGTGTATATCTCTGCCGGCTCTTTGTACACGTGCACAGTTGGCCACTGCATCAGCCCATCCTGGTACCTGCGAAATGAGACGTGGGACGAGTGGGATGGCTCGATTGCCGTCCCACGTGGGACGTCTCAATACCTGCCCGGAGCCAGGAATGGATGTTCTGACGCCCTCGCAAAACGTGGATGTCGTGGCAACCAGAAGGGCTTAAAAGGATTTAGAGGCAATATTTTGTGAGGAAAAACAGTGCTGTGCCTCAGCTGCACCTGGTCTCTGGGCAATAACTCTAGAACTCTGGAAACGGCGCACTGCAGCAACTGGGTCAGGAAGCCGAGAAAACCTCATCCTCCGTTCCTGAGTCTGTCGTTCTCATGTATCTCTAAACCTCCGTCTCATTCCGCTCTGTCTCGACAGAGACTTTCTAGGAACCAAAGACTTCTACGAACCATCGCATTTTGTGGTCAGTAGCACGCATGTATTGAATTTCCTTCCTCTACACGTCTCCCCCTCTCTCTTTTGTCTCATCCCCCCCTCAAGAATCAAGCTTAACCAACGCATCTCAGTTTTTTCGCGCGAACCCCAAGAAGGCCTCCAGCAACACGTCTAGATTCTTCCAGTCTTCAAGCCATAACCTCGGAAAATAGATGGGAACATTGAAAAGAACGAAGAGCTGGACAAAAAACAGCTGAAGGAAGGATGGAGGGGAACCCCTTCTACGTGACAAGAGGCAAGTTATACTGGTTCGAAGGTACGCTAAAGGTTTGACGCAGGATTTTATAAAATAAAATCCTTTCGAGCTGAGGTCATTTCTTTATTTTGTTGTGTGCCAAGGTTGGCAGCCCAAAAAACTTAAGGGCTTTGAGCATTTATGGAATCCTGCGTCAACGTGTTTTATGGAATCCTGGTACAGAGGTTGAAGAAGCTCATGCGTAACAAACATCCTGGAATATTAACGTCCTGGTTGAGGGGTGTCCTTCAGAAGATTCTTAAGCCCTGCCCTCCCTCAAAGTGACCGGGCCTTCTTTTTCCGCGAAGTCTATGTGTGTACGTTATTATGTTTATGTGTGAACATAAGAGCTAAGGTCCAAAGCGTCCAAAGCGAGTCAGTCAAATGAAACCACGAGGCCCACTCCCATTGAACTATGATGGCTTAAGGAGACAAACGATAGTAGCGATGGCCCCAAACCGTTCTGATATGGGTTCCGAAGTGCCTCAAAGCTTTGACGAAGGACTTTATTTAATAAAATCCTTTCGAACTGAGGTCATTCCCTTATTTTTCTATGTGCCAACGTTGGCAGCCAAAAAAAAATGGCTAGCTTTTGAGCATTTATGGAATCCCGCGCCAACGTGTTTTATGGAATCCTGTTACCAAGGTTGCAGGAGCTAATGACTAACAAACATATTGGCGTATTAAATTCCGGGTTAGGGGGGGTTGGAGAAGCGAAGGTTCTGGTTCTTTTTCAGCGTATGCTCTCGGTCGTCTTGCTGGGGCAGAGTGCTGACATGATTCTTCAGAATCGGGCCATGCTTAAGTCTATTTTGGTTTGTTTGTCCTTCACGCGCGCGCATTGCTTGTTTGTGACCATAAGATCAAAACTAAAAGTCAAAAGCCAATCAAGCGAAACCAGTTGTTATGCCAGGCCCACTCCCGAAGCACTCAACCACCTACGGCTGCCACTCTTGGCTGGGACGCGTGAAATCTCAACAGGTAGAGTGCAGGCGTGATTCCTCAGAATCTGGCCGCGTTTGAAGCTATGTTTGTATTCTTCTGAGTCCTCGATTTATGTGTCTGTATTGCTTGTTTGTGAAACTAAGAGCAAAACCCAAGGTCGAAAGCTAGTGAAACGAAACCATCTGTCACGTTTTCATCTATTCTCCGTTCTTTCGTGAAACTGGCGCCCTAGAAGCGCGAGAGTGGCCCTTGAGGATCTTTGAGGTTTGTCGGCGCGGTCAAACCTGTCACGTTTGGAGTTCTTGAAGTATGTACCCCCAGAACCTACAGCTACAGCAGTGGCCCTCGTTCAAAACATAGCAGAACAAATGAAAATGAAATCCTGGCCTTGACCCAACTCTATAAAACAAAAAACAGCAAACAAACAGTGAAAACCTACTGTCATTAACATGTTCATGAGGGTCAAAGGTCCCTAGGATGTTTTTTCTACGTGTCTTATTTTTTCCTGCACCAACATCTTGCACCAACATCCTGCACCAACATTTGTTTTTTTTGGAATCCTGTGACTGGGGTCCGATACAGGAAAATTTATAATCAATAAAATGTCCTTGACCTCTAGGAAAAAAGTATGGACTACCAATCCCATATGTTCTGGTCGTTCTGTAGCATCTTGCTGCGCTGCGCATCCCTGAGATCACGAGGCCTTCAAATGTTTTGCCTTCCGCAAACCGCACGGCGCCCGTTTGCCCCACGTTGGGCTTCTCCACAGGGGCCAAGGGGACAACGGAAGCCATAAACCGCTGAGTTTGTGAGAAGCACGCTTTTGGGGCCATCTCTTAGATGTCTATGAGCCTGTCTCTCCAGCAGGTTGATTGTTTCAAGCAGGACCACATAGTTAAGCCTAGGCAACCTCGATCAAACGATGTTTGCATGCTCGTCTGTATACGCTAGACTCTAGACCAACCAACACAATAAATTCCTTGGTAAGACCTTACTCTATTGTTCCAGGAGAAGCAATGAAACTGTTATGAAATCCGGTGGCGAACCATTCCATCCTTCTGGGAACCCCCAATGATTTTTTCTATGTATCTTTTTTTCCTGCGTCAACATTCTAGTTGCATGTCCTTTAATTTTTGGCGATTTTTCTGGATCCTGTGACTGAGGTTCGGTACAAGAAAAGTTCATAACAATACAATGTCCCTGACGTATAGGAAAAAAGTATGGACTTCTTAACCAGTATTTCTGTGGGGCACCCTGCGGTTCACCCCAGGAAGTTCTGGGAAAAGAAAAAAACCGATCCATCTTAGGTGAAATGGTGACCAGTGATGAACAGGGAATCTGCACCGGCTGACATGGTAAACATGGTAAGCCATTCTCGCACGCTCAGACTACAATGGGGGATAGAACACACTCAGAGAGCAATGCAGCTCTCAACTGAAATGACAAACAGAGTGGAGGCTCCCGGTTGCTTCAGCATCACATTTTGTGGTCAGTAGAACACATGTATTGAATCTTCTATCTCTACGCGTCTCCCCCTCTCTCTTTTCTGTCTCGTCACTTCCTCAAGAAGCAAACCAACGCACCTCAATTTTTGCACGCGCCCCAAAAAGGCCTCCAGCAACGTGTCCAGATTCTTCCACAAGTCTTCAGAGAAGCCAATGTCGTACAATGGCTCGCAAGGAGGAGGCAGCAAAATCTTTGGCGGATTCATCGGCTGACGCAGCCATGGAAACATACCATAACGGTTTTTGCGCTTGTGGGCTTATAGGTTATGGAACACACGTAGGACCCGCTTATAACCTGAACTTAAACCCTTTATAAGTTCCCCACCTTGAACAGTTTCTTACAAAAGAAAAATACAAAAAGTCTGCAGATATAAAGCCACGCAGGCAAAATTTTCACAGATTTTCAATAAAGCACGAGGCTCGCCCGCGCGCGCGCGCTGATCGAAGGAAAATACATTTCAAAGTGGTTGAGTTTCCCATGAGGCCTGACTTTCAGGTCTGTATGCACACTGATCGTCTTATAAGACACTATGACCCCAAACAATGTGTTGCGTTTCCGTTTCCCGTCTAACATGAAAAAGCAAATCTCTTTTTGTGACACAGGCTTTTCCCCAAGTCGTGCTCCAAGCAGGTTTGTACCTGCCATGCCACATGATTGCCATTGAGCAGGGCGAGCTTCTGCCAACTAGGATGTGAAAAACCCGACAACACCCTCCCACGCCTTAGCTGGCTCAGAAGTTTTCCAAGAAAAGGATTTATCCTTTTTCTCGCCATCCTTTCTGATCCTGTAGTTGGAGCTTTTCGGACACGCATATATGGTGTGGCCAGCGCGGCGAATGGGTTCCTGGCGCTCGATGCCTGGGAAGGGCAATCCGCTCGCTCCAGTCTTTTGTACTTTTTTTCTGCTTTGCCATTGCCCTTCTTTATGTTCTTTGTGGCTTTTCCCTTACCTTTGCCCTTTGACTTTTTAGGCTTCTGGGTTTCAGGGAGGCTGGGCCCATCTTCCCGAGAGCGTGTCGCAGAAGCCTTGTTCTGCTGAAGTTGCTTTTTCACTGCCGCTGCCATCTCGTCGACTGTTTTGGGCTGCTCGACCTTGGTCTCGACCTTAGCCTTGGCAACCTCGACGTCGCCACCCTTGATCTCGACAATCTTGGCCTGAGCTTTGGCCGCAACAATCGACTTGTCAGCCTCATTCTCCACTGGAAGGCCAGCACCACTGTCCTCAACAGCAGTTGCAGGAAGTGGTTCCCATCCTCGATGGCCATTGTCCTTTTCTTCCCCCAAAAATTGCAATGACTGATGGAATCCAGGCGATCCTCCAGTCTGGACTTGTTGGAAAAGTTGCTGCAAAAAATATTCTCATCGCCAATGATATCGACGTCTTTGACTTCCTAGCAGGAAGGTCGACAGGGCGACCTATTGCCTTTTCACTTTCATAGGCAGTCCTCATGGGCGCATCAGAAGGCCGCTCAGGGTAGACCAGGAGTTCACTTCTCTGCGCCTTCTTGGTGAAGTTCTTGAAGTCAGACAGCACGCTAAAGGCCCGCACGCCGTCCACGACCAAAGTTTCAGGTAACCCTTGGCGAGAAGCCAGAAGCAAAATGGCCACTGCCAAAATGCTGGTTCTGAGGGGCAGGTGACGCCCACAAGGCTGAACCTTTTGCGCAGGACTGCAAACTTGCTGTTCACGGAGTGGCTGGAGCTGCGTAAAGAAGTTTCCATTTGAAGGGGAACATGCTTTCTCGTGGCATTTCTCGATGCGCACATTGGACGGTTTCCTCTTGCGTCCGTGAAGGGATGTCAGCCTGCTCCACGCTTTGAAGCATTTGGGTAGCTTCACGCATTGGAAAGTTCGGGGTGGCTCTCAGGTCAACCAGGCAGCTATTAAGCATCTTGCGCTGGGTCTCCAGCAGAGCCTTTTGATTGGCAGTGTTGATACCAATTTTTTCATATCCACCAGAAATTCCAGCATCTCCTTCAACCGGCGAGTGGCCATGACTTCAAGGGCTAGCCTCTTGAACACAAAAAGGTAAAAGCCAGGCGAGCCTTGGTCGAGTCCTGGTGAACCCCCAAACAAGTGGAGTGGATATGATGAAATGTGAATATACAGCAAAGCAAGCGACCATCCCTTGACTGCAACAAGCCTTGACAAACTCCACAGATCTTCACAGTTACAGCTCTTTTTCCCTTTTCCCCAATGTTTGTTGCGCTTGATCAAAATGGTTCGCTTGGGGCGAGCCTCCACCCCAAATCCTCGCAAAATCTCAAAGCTGCTTACACTCATCAGGAAGAAGAAGAAGATGAGATGAAGCGGTACTTGTAATACTGCTTGGCGCTCTGCTTGGCCTTCTTCGCTTTGCCGTTCTGCTTTGTTTTCTTTGCTGGTTTCTTCTGCAAACCTTTCTTCTGCGCCTTTCCTGTTGCGCCTTTTCTCTTCGAGGCCTTGGCACCCGTC